CGTAAACTTGCATTTACGGTATTTGGGGATAAATATAAAAAAAAAATATTAAACACAAAATGCAAAAAAAAACAACAACAACTAATTTGGTCAAAATCATATTATTATTTTTTTTAAATGCAGAGCACATTTCTAAGCCTCTCTGTGACGTAGGTGGTGCACTCTGTTGGCATACTTTGTTTATATCAGCAAACGCTTCTGTTACGATCGTCATACGGTCAAGTAGTTGTTCTTTGCATCGTTTTTCAAGACTCTGCAATGTATTACCCTTATTCAAGATGTCTGGAAAGAGGCCATTTAGCTCAAGTTCAAGTAGTATGCCCAAGAAAGCACTGAAAGGAGATACTTTGAATGTGAAACTTGATGTTTTGAGAAGGTTTGATGCCAGAGAGAAACTGAATTGCTAAAACTTTAGGGCTTGCTACCTCTGCAGAAGGAAAAATTCCAAATAATAAAGAAAAAAAAATCAAGACAAGTGATAAAGTAGCTACACATTTAAGTGTTCATACATTTTATTTTCATAGAAGTGAAGTGATGCTTAATATGAAAAGACTCCTTTGCCCTCATAGAAGAAGTGGTGCAAATCCTCAGTGCTAATGATCCCAATCGTGAACACAGCCACATTTACAAGAGGAGTACATGATGGCATGCACTGCTACAAGGAGCTGTACAAGGAGAAGATGTGGCAGAAACAGCAAACAACTCCCGACGCATTTTTCGTCAAAAGAGCTGAGCCTACGGTACATCAAGATGATGATCATGATCATTATTTATAGGGTGAGGCAGACGTGAGTACCAATACCGAGTCTCCCTCTTCCTCCCCATCTAAAATTTAATTATTTTTGTGTACCAACTATTATTTTGGTTGAGTAAAACTACTAAACTATGTCAGTTACATTTAATAGGTGTTTAAAAATGTCTTTGTATATTCATATGTGCGTTTTTTATTACTTTTGTGGATTAAAACATTTCTCTAAGAACACATCCACACATAACATGAGAGTCAATAAGAAACTAAGGTTCGAGTTACGGAATTTTGCGCTGAGGAAGCTTTTTCAAGAACACATCCTATCCATAAAGTGGGGATCGAATGTATTATTAGTTTCATACAGCACTCGCAAACAACTTTTAAGCTACTATTATGTCGTGGAATTGTGGGATTTCACCATCACTTGTCTAGAATATCAAAAGCCCCAAAATGTAAAACATGTTTTTGTAGCAACAGAAACCACAGTGTGATCATTTCATTCAGGCTACCAGAAGACGAAAAGATAGTTACATAATGGATATATTATATAATTTTTAAGGTAATGGCTAACACGATTATGTGATATGATTAGATATATATAATATTGTATTTAATGGTTCTTTTATTACTCACTTAATGCTGCATATTTGACCGAAAACAAAGTGCTGTGTGGTGTAGCTGGGAAAAGCAAAACACGGATTCAGTAGAACAGTGTACAGCCATAAAGTCATTGGCAGTAAAGGAACTCTCTTCTACCTCTTGTAAGACAGCCATCCTCCAAATGAGGGATCATCACCTGTCGACACAACTTCTAAAATTACCAGCTAATCTACAAAGCAAATCAATTCAACAATATATTAGTTAGATCTGGTGATTTCCTGACATAATATTTAATACCTTGAATTTTAGTTAAAACTCTTTTTTTTTGTAAGATGAGATATAGCTACACTGTTTACTCTCTAGTAGAAAATGCATAGTGAAACATCAAAATTGGCCATCATACTGGAGCATCATCAATATTGATGTGTCTCAAGTCTTTTCATTCCTCTCCATTAATCTAGCCTGCGTTGACGGTCTAACCACATGCTGTGTGATAACATTTGCTGATGACATTCTGATTTGCAGCACGGGTTATAGTAAAACTGAAATATAAAGTAAGATGTAGCCATCCCTTATCAGGATGAGCAAATGGTGCAATGATATAGGAATGGTTATCAATATTGTCAAACTGCAGCCATGTTTTTGCACATTCAACCACATATATGCTGAATGGTAAAGAATCATAACCGTCTTTGTAGGCACTGCTATATCTTTGTAATAAACACAAAAGTACTGAGGGTAACCTTTGACAAACAACTTTACTAGTTATATTAACACTATGATAAAAAAGCTACAAAAAGTTGCAACAGGATGTAAAGCCGAAAATCTCTACCTGCATATGCTCTACCAATATTTTATCTAGATAAGATTTGGAAGACATAAAAGAACTATCAAAGGGTGGTCATGAGTTGTACTTCAGCCACCTCTATAAAAACCTCATTGCAACTCACAAGCTTATAACATAATCGTCTAATACTTAATGCACCTTAGCTCAGCCATAGCCCATATAAGTTTGGTGAGTTACTGATATATCACTTGATACTTTGATTTGGTTTTGTAAATTTTCAAAAGCCAACCAGTCATTGTTTGGGTAACTTTAGTCAGCTGCTTCAAATGTACGTACGTCCTTGGAAATACTACAACAGGAACGCTTTCATAAAAAATTATAACAACAGGGGCATTTTCACAACAATAATGGCGTTCTGATTCGCTTCTCCTCAACTCAAGCCCTGGTATATCATGCTTCATAAGAATAATGTGCATTTGCTAATGCAGTTGCATAACACTGCAGATGTGATCCGTTGTGCCAACCATTCATTCCTTTAGGCTATTGTTATGAATGGTTAGGTAAATATTAGGCCTCGTTGTATGAATGTAGATATATGCAAATATTAGATTCATTATGGTACTATTGTCTTGTCCTATATGAAAGCATTAGGTTCATATATGCTTACTTAGGTCTACTTGTATGAATAGACTGCTATTTAAAGGAAATCATAATTTCAACAATGATATTATTTGTCTTTCGTTAGTTGGTTCTTTGAAATCATCAGATGAAAATAATTCAAAGTCCAGTAATGGTAACAAATTAGTTTATTCCCCCCTCACGTTTTACACACTTAAATACCGTGGAATTCATAGGCCACGTTTATAAAGAATGCTAATTGCACAGCTTTAACGTGAAGAATAAACTTAATTGTACCACTTCACGATGAAAACAAAAACACAAAAACCTGAAGACTTTCGAAACGTTGTTCTTTACATTTGTATTTTTTTTTTTGCAACAGGCAGTTGCCGTCCATTCTAATTTACTGGTCATGAATGCTCTGTCCTAAACAATCTAAAAGAAGATATAGAAAATTCAGTAAAAGCGACTGTCAGTTCGTACCTTAAAAGCACCTTGCTTTTCACTATCAATAGCCATTGTTCATTACTATGTTTCCATTCACTTACTTTCTCATACTCAGTTACATAAGGATTCAGTACTACTTCATCTTGTTGAACCTCATATTTAACGTATGTAAATCGAAATGCAAATAAATTCTGTACATAAAACTATATCATCATAACTTGTTCTAAACCGTATGTTATGATGGCTTAAAGACGAAACGTTCCATCAATGGAATAATTCGAAATGTATATATTGTTACAAATTGCTTTTTTGTGTATAAAAATACGTCAGTCAGCATTACTTAATAAAAAAGACAAGTATGTTCCCTTCTTCATACTGTTACGAAATCGGAAGTCACGTGACCCTGGTAACACGTCATGAGATTCTCGAAGGATCGTGACTTTTCCAAGCGCCCTCTATTTTAGTATATAAGCCCGGCAAAAGATAGCAGATAGCAAAACAGTTCAAACAATTAGCTCTAACACCAGAAACTTGGAACACATACATATCACTATTCAATTACATAAACAGCCTAGAAAACACATAAAACACTCGCCAAGTAACTGAAAGAAATTTCTTTTTCAGCTTTGGGCACTGGTCAGGTAGATTATTCGGCGCTTGACCGGTGAAAGTGGGTTTTCTCGGGGTACTCCCGTTTTCCCCCACAGCAAAATTCTGAGAATTTGACCACGGTCCTCCTCCTAGCCCTAAAAAGGACCGACAGACGGCCTCCTCCCCCACCCAATATTTTTAGCCCTAGTGCTTTATCCCACCGGACGCATCCTCGAAGGCGCCGCTGCCTGATTTTCCAAGTTAATGTATTTTCTAGACTCGGTCAAACCAAATCCAGGACAAACTATAATACTCACGGATATGTACATCCCTCACCAATCAGTGGGGTTGAAGAGAAGCGGAAAAAAACTTCTGAACACCCCTGGTTGTCCTCAAACACGTTGAGGCTGAAATGACGTAACCAAAATTACCACCCAGAGTATAAGATAAGCAGATAGGTAGATATAGAGACAGATAATTGAGTCAAGCGAGCAGTAGGCACCGTAAGAAAAGTGTGTGAATCCCTGTGAATTATAGTGTATGTTTATAAAAGTAGTTAAGTTTAAAGTGACTGTGGAA